TATAAGTAAATTCATTTAAGTTTATCATTTATGATATATATAGCAAAATTCGGTGCAAAATTTATTTATATTTCGACATTTCACCTGCCATTTAAAATTTCGATTGAAAATTTTGAACAAACATTTTAGTTGCGTTAGCATTTTCTTATAAAATAAATTTATACTTTTACATAAAAGAATTCTATGAATGATATTTTCTATTAACTTAATATGTTTAATAATGATAGTGATAATGATTAATAATGACTTTTTTCTAACAGTTCTCAACTGATTAGGTTGGCTGTAAGGCTTCGCTGGCTATAAGGATAAGATTCAACCGGATACCATCGCTGACAACAGTAAAAGCCATTCTCTTTTCCATCGTTGAAATCCAAATATTGCTGCTCCCTGCTCCTCCTCCACATGCAGAATCTTTGCAAGTCTTGATTGACCCTCTTCGCTTTTGACGCCATCCGTAACAGGTAATCCATTAAAAAGTAAAGAAACGAAATATGTCTAAACTCCTGTGGTCGACGAAGATTTCCCATAAATAATAACAATAAAAATAATAATAATGATAAATGTAGTATACTTATTGGAATTATTTTTATTTTATTTATATCGGCTTAAGAATATTGAAATAATTAATTGCAATCCTAATTAATTGAAAACATCGCGATAGACTGAATCGAACTTATTTATTTATTTGCATATTTTTCTAATGAATTTTTTAAATTTTCTTAAAATGAATAAAAGAAAATAGAAAAAACATCTCAAACTAAAAGGAAGGACGAAAGGATTCAACGTTTCAATGGAAAAACGCAATACATTTCCGTCCGTGAAAAATGACGATTCGACGAACGATTCGATATTGATAATCCCATTTTGGATTATAGTAAATTTCCTTCTATTACCTTGACCGATTTCCTTTCACCAAATTAACTTTATTGACTAATTTTATGAATTTTTTATCGTTAGTTTGACAATATTATATAATTAGCAAATCGATAAGTATTACAATCTTATTTCGAAACAATTCGATGATCGAAAATATGTAATTTTCCTCTTTGATACTTTTCATCTCAGCGATGATTATTGAATCATTTTTCATTGTCTCAAATAACATATTTATCAATATTTTTCTTTTCTTTCCTTTTAATATATTTCACTGTTCTACGAATTATTGAACCATTTAAACAGAAAGGGAGCAAAAGTTTATAGGAAAATACCATTCGATTTTCAAATATTCAAACATATGATAAAATTTATAAAATTTATAAAATAGTTGAAACTTTAAATTTATAAAATTTAGTAAATAAGGAAAATGATAAAAACCGAGTGGCGTATTTGAAATAATGATGGGTGCTTATAAGGATTTACAGATACAACAATAATAAGATACATTTTTAAATTACAAATTACATTTCTGTTGCAAAATTTTTTTGTAGATATACAGTAAATCCTTGGTGAAATATTTATTTCGCTACAAATAAATATAAAACGTGTATATAATACGAGAAAATATTGTTACGTGATGATCTGCGTGTCGCTTGCAAATTATTGTTGAACTATAATGGAATGGAATCCTCACGTTAAGTGCTTCTTTGTTTGAAAATCCACGCTATGACGACGACAAATAAAGCGGATCATTTTCGATGACAATAAGAAAACATAATGCGCTCAGTAGTAATAACGCTAATGATCCATTCCCCGTGTAGGTTTCCCCGTCTTATACAATAGAAACATAGCAAATATGATTGGTTATAAATTGTAGAACAAGATATATTACTGAAAAATGTGAAGGTCAAGTAATCACATTTGAAATCTACGGGGTCAGTGAAATCAAACATTGATATCAAACATAAAATATAAATTATATAAATTATTCATGAATAACTGTTTCTTCGGATTCGTTAATTTTGAGAGTCGTTATTAGTTATATGCATTGCTTATAATTTTAGAATCCAAATAGACTACTGTGAATGACTATTGGTTTATTATTTAAAATAAATTGAATCAATTATCGATAATGTTTGTCATTTTCAATTATTTTAAAGAATAATTGTTGAAAATCTATAAAATGTTTCAACATTTCATTAATTAATTAGTTTAAATATTTATTTTTAAATATTTATCGAGTTTTATTTATTTTTCCAAGAAAAATTTGTATTATTTGTTCTAATGGAATTTAAATTATTTTGTTTCTTTTACCATTTATATCACATTCCTTCTTTTTGAATAATCTAAAAATTATTTTTTGAACTTTTCCACTTTTATTAAATTTTAGAAATAAAACTTGTTCCCATAAATAAAACTATTTGTTCTATTATAATACAAAATATTACAAATATAGCATTTAAAATAATTCTCTCAATTAGCACCTTTTTAGTTGTTAATTTTTTTAAATGGTACCACAATATAATACTGGTTTATACTGGTTTTTTTACAATTTAATCTGCATTTTTTGAAGCGGTTTGATATATCTTTTATATATTATTATATTATGGTATGAAATTTTATATGACGAACGTATGATTTGTGTATTTAATTTTTTCGATAATCGAACGACATTTTATAACTTTAACGTATAGTAAAAGTAAAAATAAAAAAACAAATGGTTAGCACTTGCCACATGTGCTTAAATTAGCTTCGTTGGTTGCTTAGCACGGTAAGAAATTTTCACAAAGAGGCGTAATTGAATCGTCAGCACCGCCCGAATTTTATAACAACAAGTTTGCTTGTTGCTGGAGGTAGAATGCGAAACTCGGACTCTTTTTGTAGTTTAGATTTTTTTTAGTGTTTTTATCAGTGGTACTTCCATAGAATTTGCTATATTTTGATCGGTTATATTCTAGATAGCCTATTTATATAATTGGTGGCATTTAGTGTGTCTTCTTCTTTTGTGTATTGTAACTCAACTCAAAGTAAATTAAAGAGTTAATTAATATTTTATGACCACAGTATACAACATAATTGGTTGGTTCAGCGGCGGTTTAGCGAAAATCTAGAAATTTATTTTTGCATAATTTCAATTGATATTGATTTCAATTGATATTCAATTTATTAATATTACATTATCAGCGATTTTCCATTATTTTCCATTATATTTGTTCAGCGTTCGATTATTTTCTACAATAAATTATAAATAAATTTATAAAATATCCATAAATAATTTGCTCAATAATTTTGTATTAATTCATTGAAAATTTTTATAAAATTTTTTTGAAAAAATTTTTTCCAAATTCATGGAATGTAGTTTTTTTCAGTCATTATTGCATAAATTAATACAAATTTTATTTAATTTTATTTCCCAAAATATTTCACTTATTTTCAATACTTTTATACTTAAATCATTTTGAGACGGAAGTGGCTTCGCAGCGCCAGTATTTTTTAATAACAGGTTTACTGCGACTTCCAAAGACAGTTTAGTGAGGGTGTGGTAACGAATTCTTTTCAAAATATGAGTCAGCTGATTCCGGTGAATAGATATCAGCAGTGTTCATCGATTTGCTCATGTAGATTTTCTTTGCTATATCTTCTTCTGTTCTACGAGTGCATTTACTATGTATTGCCAGAGTAGTTCCATTGGCGATAACTATTAACATAAAGGGAATTTCAGTGGACTTGAAAGGGTTTATTTCATGTTTGATTTATGTATACGGCAAACAACGGTAAAATTAAAATCGAGGAACAGTCAATCGATTGTGGAAATTTTTAAAGAACATTTTTTTTTTGCGCTCAGTAAAATACGTTTTAACTGTGGGCGTTCGAATGAATTTTACTGAGTATTCATTTCGATGAGGAAAGAGATTTCTGAGAAATTTTTACTGCACAATTTTTGAGCGATTTTTAGATTTTTAGAGATTTAGTAAAAGGGAAATCTTTTATGAATTTAAGACATTCGTAAAAAAAATGAGATTCTTTTACGATTTTGCGACTCCGAATAATGAAAATTTGTCTTTAAAAAAATACTGTCAATTGTTAAAGAAATTTTTGCTCCTAAAATTTACATTTACTTCTATTTTTTACAATTTATTTGTTCCTTAATTAAATTTTTCTGGGATTTTAGTTAATCGTTTCTTGAAAAAAAAATTTTTTTTCAATATAGAAAATAATAAAAATTTGTTTGTCGAAAATACTTTTTGTATTTTATTTGTCGATTTTTGTAATTTTTTAATAATTTTTGGATTTAAAAATTCTGGAAATTTTCAAATCAATATTTAGTGGATGAAAACAAATTTTCTTTCTTTAGAGTTTAATAATTATTATCTAATTTTTTATTAAATTTTTTATTGTTTGAACTAAATTCATTTCTCTAATGAAATTCAACGATTTGCTGCATCCTTCATAAATTTTCATTTTTTTCCGAAATGCTTAATGATAAATTTAACAATCATTAATTTTGTTTGGCACTTTTTTTCCTATTTTTGTTCAAACATATAATCCGTTACCGAGCTGTGTTATTTGAACATTATTATTATTACTATTATTATTATTATTAAAATGTTTTAATATTATTGGTATTTATTATCACCGTCATTATTGTTATCAATTATCAGCATCGCCATTATACGTTCATTTCGGTTTTAATTTCGGTTTTAATCGGTTTTTGCGCAAGTTTTTTCCTAAAAAAGGAAGTTCAATTTGACTTCGTTGCTTTTTTTAAAATACATTAAGTTTTGTTTGTTAAAAATTAGCATATTAGCATATTCGAAGAAACTTTTAAAGGTTTTTCAGAATTTATACATTTATTCTTCTCTTTACAAAACCCAATGAATGTCCACATTTCAAGCAACATCTGTTTCGTTGTTATTCAAATCTGTTGCCACAAATGCTTTTTAAACTAATCATTTCTCGATTCTCTTATTCTTAATTTCTTACAAGCACCTCGATCGGTCGATTTTAAAATCAGTCGAAAATACTATTTTTCCTAATTAGCTAATTTTATAAATTTTGCGTTTTGCTTATGGTTTTTTATTTCTGTTTTTAAATTTTCATTAAATATCTTTAAAGAAAGGAAAATGAATCGTGAACGAAATATCGATGTTTCTCGTAGCAATTATTCGGTGATTGATAAAGAATTTGGAAATATTCGTGAACGTTTCGAAAATGAAATGAAACGAGTTGAAGAAGAAATGCAACGTTTAAGAAGGGAATTTGAAGGTTGTATCGAGTTATAAAAGTTAAAGAACTAATAAAAGAAAAGTGGTAAAGGAAAAAATGAGAAAATTTCCAAAAAAGGAGATTAAATTTTTTATTTATTTATTTTGTTTTATTTTATTTTATTTCCGAAAATGTCGCACTGTAAATAATTTCAATAATTTTTTTGGTTTTATATTAATTATACATTCAGATTTTATAGATTTTACAGATAATTTTTGGAAAATTCATGGAATTTCCAGGAATATTTCCAGAAAATTATCAAAATATTTTGCCTTATGGAACATCAAAAGAACGAAATTAGATTCTAAATTTCAAATTAAAAAATAATATTTCTTATTGAATAATATTGAATTTTTTTTGCTTTTATTATTCTAATTTTAAAAAAATTTGAGGAAGAAAACCTTCAAAAAAATTTTTATAAAACAAAATAAACAAAAACTTGTTTTCAAATTCAGAAAATTTAAAAAACATTCAATTAACGAAGCTTCATCAAAATTTTTTATTTTTATTAAATATTTTAGAATATTTGAAAAAAAAAGTTTCTATTAACTATTTTTTTCTCAACTATTTTTTTGAAATTTTATTTGAACTCAACTAATTAATTATTTGTAAGGAATAAAACATCATAAATTATGCAAATTGTGAATCTAAATTTAAAATTTTATTCAAGAACGCCCAATTTTAGAAGACAAAAGCTTTATTCAAGTATTCCATTCCATTTTAGGCCTATCTTTTCATTGATTTCACATTCATTTACTCAACTCCTTTATCCTTTCTATTCAAATTATTTATCGATAAATGCACTTCAAGCCAGTGAAATCTATACTTTTATTCAACTAAAATTATATTATATTCCATCCAATTTGTTAGTCGACACAGCGATAAATTTTTGTCCTTAAATATTACTATGTTTGCACGAAATAGCCAAATTTTTTTGGCTCTTTGATAACATTTTGTAGCATATTAATTTCATTTATTTATTGGAATGAAAAATGAATGCAAAATTAAATTATTGGTAATTGGTTTTAATGAAACGAGGTTAGAATTTAAGAATTTCCATGATTCTTAAAATTCCAAATTTGTACTCTATTAGAACCCCTTTCTGAATTATATGCTCGTAAAATCCCGTAAAATAAATATATGAATGAATCTATCTGTTAATATATTTGTATAATATCAGAATATATGCAAATTAAGGTTACACGCCTTCGCGTACTACAGCACCACCACCTCCACCATCCAGTGATAATCGCCAAACAAGTTATCATAGAGAAGAATCGAGGAGATACGAATCATCTACGCAAGTAAGCATATTTCTGCAACAAACAATCGATTATATGAACTTATATTTGCGACTAATAAGAATTTGTTTTTTAAGATGCTTTATGCTTAATTAATTATTTTATTATTTAATTTAATTTTGACTTAATTATTTGATTTCAAAGGGTAATTTACCATCGCATATGGCTGTTGATCGTGATCGTTTCTTCCAAGATTCGGAAATGAATAGAACTATGATGTCGACTCGACCCATTTACGATCCATATTTAGAGAATTTGAAGTCACCACTAATAAAAGATGAAAGTGATGGAAAGACGTTAAGACTTAGGTTTGTGCAGTATTATTCAAGTTTTGCTGATTCAGTATATATTTATTTATATATAAAGCGTCAAAGATCCAGAAGAGCGCACTTCTAGGAACAGCTAAGATGTTGCACAGAAGCTCCCTCTGGTAAAGAATAAACCATGCCACCGTCCATAGGGGCTGGAAAAAGTTTCGTTTTGCCATCAACACATTTGCCTGATTCTTGTGTGATAATCTTTTTCCCTTACACTTTTTTTTGTTCTTATCTGTCAAATAAATCGCTTTCTCTTCAAAGATTCAAAGAGATTAAATAAATTTATTTCGCTGCAAATTGAATAAATTTGAAGGCTGTTTATCAATCATTTTCTAAAATTTTTTCTTTAAATATGGTGCTTTTGATTTTAAATTTATTTATAAAAAGGCCGAAATTAAATTTATCAGTAGTTTATCGAGCATAACACTTACACACTCGCACTGAATATTTAGATTCGATGTCGCCCAGTATAAGCCCGAAGAAGTTACTGTCAAAACAATAGATAATCGACTACTTGTTCATGCAAAACATGAGGAAAAAACACCGCAGCGTACCGTCTTCCGCGAATACAATCAAGTTAGATTAGATTTGATTTATTCGTTCATTTGTTATCTTTTAGATATTTCATTTCAAAGAACTTCATTTTAATCGATGAATATTTATAAATAAGTATTGTCAGATTAAATGAAGTTTGCTGAATAATCTATTTGTATCATATATAAATTTTCCTTTCATTTGTTTCTAATTTTCTATGTAAACAAATCCATCAAATGGCAATATTTTAGGAATTTTTATTACCAAGAGGCACAAATCCGGAACTTATCAGTAGCACTTTGAGTACTGATGGTGTACTAACCGTTGAAGCTCCGCTACCACAATTGGCTATTCAACGTTAATTTGCACAAAATATGAGGTCCACATTTTTTTTCATAGTGAACTCCAAAGTGCTTGTTTTCTCAATTATACGTTTTTTGGCTGATTAAATTTTGTGCCTTTTGCCTTTTTTGGGGGCTAAAAAAAATTTTCCAAGGTTTTGCAATTGATGAAAAATAAATACTTTTTTGAGGATTTTAATTATCCTGTTGAGCTAAATAATAAACTTTCTTTATTTTGGATTTTCTTTCCAGCGTTATTTTTATGAATTATCATTAATTGATATCATTAATTTTTGCTGGTCATTTTATTTTTTATCTTTAATCATTATAAACTTTATTTCCTTAAAAATTATCAGAATTATCAGAGCTTCTGTCCTATCAGAATACGCTGTATCATTGATCATTTCTATCATTCACCTATATAATTTTATAAAATAGCGGTGCATCGTTCTGTTTATTTTTGAGTTTACGAACAAATTTATTTCATTTCATTGCGAAATTTGATAATAAATGTTTTTTGCCCAATTTTCAGTTTTTTTATTTTTCGATACTCCATCAATATAAATTTTATAGATTTATTTTCAATCAAAATCGCCCTTTTTATCTCGAATTTCAATCGAAAAAAACCGAAAATTTGATCGAAAGATATGTTTAATTATACATATTTATTAAATGTATATAAATATGGAATGGATAGATTTTTAATTTTTGTATTTTTCTTTATTTTCTCGTTACTTTTCAGTTTACAGTAGTAAAAAAACACTCTGAAATAATTTCCATCTACAGAATTCTGTGAAATTCTATCAATAAAAAATATTTAGAAATTCTCGAGATGGAATTTAAATTTATTAATTATAGAAGAAAAAGAGCGATTATCATTTAATAACAATAATAGGGAAAAATTGAATGAGGCAAGCAGTGACAACCACAATAAATTTATAATATAATATAATAAACAACAAATGTTAATGAGTGTTTGAAAAGTCGATTGGAAACGAAAATTATAGCAATTTAGGTGAAGAATTTTTTAAAAGAGGTATTTTATATAAATTTGAAGCATCGATTTCGACTGGTTTCTTTGCAGCTGTTTTCTTAGAACGAAGGCCTAAAAATGATTTTTCTCTATTATCCTGAGAAATCTTTCTTTGTACCAGAAAAGAGTAAATGAAGGAAAGGATGCGGGTATTTAGCACCATCTGGATTTCATCTTTAATGACAGGTAACTTTAGATAACAAATACGGTTGGTTAACTGGATATTTTTTTACATAACAGAAATAACAGAAATTTACTAACTATTCAATTTTTGCTTAGAGAATATTTTTATTGTATTTTTATTTTTATTACATTTTCTATCGAAGAATATAGAAAAAATCTTAATTGAGCTAAAATTTTACTTTATTCCAGAAGAACGATTACCCTAATATATCCTTAAAGTCGCAAATTCATTATCCATTAAGTATTTCTTTACAAAAGGAATATGAAAAAATGCATACCTAGTCGTGGCAATCTGGTTCATTTGAATTCATCATTCTAGAAAAATATAAAAATTTAAAATAGCAGCTATGAAATATGAATAATATTTTTTGTTAAATGAATCTAAAAATGAATTTTAAAATGGATGTACCTTATTGCTTTAAAGCCACCTTCGATGCAATCGTTAGTTGATAGCGATTTAAACATCTATAAAAATGGCAACTGATAAAAAAAGATTGGTCAAAAAAGAGAATTTTATTTCAACTCTTTTAAACAACTTATCTCCAATTATTGCTTTGATTCTTCAGCATTTATGCTAAAAACTATCGATAAGGAAATCAGCGAAGGAAATAATATGGAATTAAAGAAATCATTAATCGTTTTGCTGGATCATCCTTAGTTTCCTTATTTATGGCTTTAATAATAATTTTTTTTTAAAGAGTTTTCACTATTATTGGTTAAATTCGCTCCGCTAGCTTGTCGCATTGAGCAATATTCCAGGGAGTCCCTTGGATTACCCGGATTTTTGTGGAAGTTTACTCCTGCGGGGAATCGAATCTCAATATCGATGCTCCCAATTAAGCAATAACCCACTTAGCCATCCTATTCCTAGTTATTTTTTTGGCTTTAATAATACTGAAAAGTAAAAAATGTTTATATTCAAAAGTGTGAAAAGTGTTGAACATATGTCTTCAACAGAAAAAAATTCTAACAACTGATAGCCACTGGCAAAAAGAACGCAAAACCCTTTCATAGAAGGTTGCCAACTCGTATTTACTTTCAGTAGTTATCTCTTGTTTTGTATTCGTTGTTGAAAATTTATTAAATAATGGAGGAGTTGTATCCGGCGTGGAAGTCTGAAATGGCTTCATGATCCATGAACATAGCTTAAAATAGTTGACGCTAAAATGACTCTTATGAAAATTTGCAAATTAATTCGAATTTTAAGTTTTACTGACTCAAAAAAAATTAGTTAGTTAGCCATTTGTGATTGGGCTCGCTTCACTGGTTGTTAGTACAGTTGAAAATCTTTACCAGAGAATTATTTGCCAATAAAGGTATAGAAGGAGCACCAATCCAGTTTTTAATGACAAATTTAATCCTACAGGAAGCGGGAACCATATTTCAATAATCTGGGCTTTCTCTATCCGAGCTTTATCTGAGCTTTAGCTACTCTGTCCATTATTCTCTTCACTGCTTCACTGACTACTTGGATAAGACTGTTTCGCTAGCGTATACCACTTTTGATGAAAAGGATCCTATATTATCAAGGATCACCAACCAAACATGAAACCATTCGACCATTGTACTTTTTTAGTTTTCATTATCATGCATTAAACGGATAAATTACATAGTGTATCGAACCAATTATCTAACATATATCATTTCATGGTTTTCAAATCGTAACTAATCGTGAGAAAACAGGATAAAAAAAAATACTCATTATTCAGAAAGACAAAAAACGAAAACAAAACAGATTTTCTTGGAAAATTATATTAATTATCCTTGAAAATATCTATCACCATTATCAACTCATTTTCATTTTTCTCAGCGTTTTAAGTGAAATGCTTGAGGCATGGAACGAGTGATTTGGCTAGACAATGTTTAAGTTTTATTTACTTGTCTATTTCAAATAAATAAATAATAAATTTTTTTAGATTTATTTATTTTTTTTTAGAATAAATTTTTTAAATAATAAATTTCAAAATTTTCAGTCTTTTTAATTTGATAAAAGAAAGAAAAAAATTAACATAATGTAAGAATATTATTGATGGGCAACTCACAAGTGGTGATGATATTGTTTTGCCAGTAATTGATAACATCTTTCCGGACTTTTCTTTTGCCCTCAGTAACCGCAGTCTTTGCAGAAAAGATTTATTTTCAGCTATACTTAATGATGCTTTAGTGATAGCAGTTTGCTGGGGTAATACTAAAAGTATCAATTAAAAATCTTCACTGTAAGAATTATCTAACAAGAATTATCTAATCATTATTCTAAAATAGAAGAGATATTCGCAACCTTATCAATTTCCTAATCTTCGTATACTCGGTCTAAAACGCCTTTATAATTTCAAATAAAAATCTATCTGCTTCGAAATTTGACGCATAACGTAAAAGCTATGATAAAAGAAATCTTGCTTAGTAAATCTTACTTGAAGCGGTTCTATTGGTTCTACGATAACTTTGTGTTGTTGTGGCCGTTAAACGGTTTGCATACCACATTGCTTTAGGAGTTTTTAGATTGGCTTTTGGATCTAAATTTTCCATACTGTTTTTCATAGTGAAAAAGCGATTATGAAATCCAAATGGAATATTTATGGAGACATTAGCTCTTCCGATTTCAGTCATTGAAACCGCATCAACAATTAGCAACACACCTGCAAGTAAAATTTTTTGAATAAATTGATCCAAAAAATAGTCAGAAATTAAACGAGAAGTTATTTTCTTGCACACACCTGGTTCATTAACACCTGGTTCTAGCCAAACATATGATTTAAATAACTTAAGAAATGCATATTAATCCAACTTATTAATTTTTCTTCTGTGGACAAATAAGACAATGCAAGAGAGAGACGATAGTCCTAACCTTTATTTTGCCTTAAATCGAGAGCTCTAACAATAAGGATACCAGCATCTTCATTTCGAGCACCAGGTTTTGAAACAAAAAACGGTTCGTGTAAAACCAGTCTATGCGATTTGAAAACCTTATTTTTGGTTCCTAAAGCCAGTTAAAATTATGGACAAATTATATCCTTTCCATTAAACAATGAAACAACCTGATGGATCGTTCACATTGATTTTTATGATATAATTATCTGCAGCAAATGGATGATTTAAAACATAAGCCCACTGATATGGCTTTTCGTTATATTCATAATTAATTTGAGGAAAATCGGTTGCAGTGGTTCCCTAGAAACGAATTTATTTTTTAATTTAATTTCAATGCGTGGTTTGCCGAAAAATTAGAAATTATTCCAAATCTATTATTCCATATTCCACATTTTACATATTCTTTTAAAATAATATTCTTTAGATTTTCTGTCGTATAAAATTAAAATTAAAAAAATTATAAAAATGTATTTCATAAATATACTCTTTTTGCAAAAATATTAAGAATGAGTGGCAGTTAAGCACTGTTAAAGCAAAGGCATGCACCTTGCTTAGAAGATAATTATACATGACTCGATTATTGTTGATATCTAACGAAAAACGGAGAAGCCGAGCGGTTTTCGGATAAATCTAAAAATAAAAATAAGCCATAATTAAATAATCGTTTAATTTCCTAATATTATTAAAACTCTATTGAATATTCGCAAAATTTTTGAAGATTTAAATGCTTTTTTTTCAATGGGAAATCTTGAAAAAATCTACTTGTGTCGTAAGAAAATCTGTGGAGAAATATTTTATGAACGGGTCATCATTTTCGTAAGCAACCTGAAAATTCAAAGCTGAGGAAATAAGTTCATTTTAAGCGTTTAATTATCTTTTTTTGCAACACTCATGGCTCAATTCTTTAGCTATTAGGATGAGCCACTTTTATCAAAGAGTATATGGGCTACCAACACCACCACAATATGACGTGTTGATTAATGGCAAACTTGGTAGAACGCTTAGCCTTGCTTAACGAATATTCGCAAGTACTGTTAATATTTTCTTATAAAATATGCAAGCATTTTTTAAGTACAATGACAATTTGAACCAACCATATCGGCCATTATTATTCCTTCCTTTTCAAAAGCGTTGATTTGATGCGTGATAAACATAGATGGAAAGGCTTCGAGAGGTTTTTCTGTACTCCATTGTCCAGTATTTTTATCAAATATCAAGAATCTAAAGGCGGATTAATAAAATGCGAAATGATCCATTTTTTTAAAAAATTCAGCTTAAAAAAACTGGTAAAAAAATTGTCTAATTATCAGATGATAATGACCTATCGTATTTCTATCGCCAAGTGACTCCCTGGCGAAATTTGCCTGGTCCAGCAAGTCAACCAAGCCAATTCAGCTAGAAATGATGAGATGTTTTTTAAAAAAATCATCATAAAGTATTAAAAACAGATAATTTCATAATTTTTGAGAAAAATTTTGTAAATAAATAACTGTCCTAGCAATGGATCATTCAAATAGAACAAAGAATATAGTGATATCGAAAAACGTGAAAACATGAAAAGATTACGATTACTGAGGAATAGGAAGAATGATTACCTTAATGGCGCCATCTCATAAAAATCCATGCCCCATATTCCACCATTTTGAATTTCAGAATCTTCATTAATCGGCGGTTCCTTAAGTTTGCATGGATTCAGCAAAAGTGAAGTTATTGGTATAACAATATAGTTTTCTGTAGATGTAATTGAGTGCACATAACCAGGAAGATCAGATAATTCTCCTAAAAAAATAAATTAGTTAAAAAATTAGGAGAAAATTTCAATTCTAATAAATTTTTACATTTTACATTTTTATAATGCATAAAAAAGTATGAAAATCTCTCATTTTCTGCTAAATTTCAGATTTGATTTTTAAATATAAATAAAGAATTATGAAACATAAGAAGTTATACCAATGAAGATATCGATGATTTTCTTGGAATATATATATTTAAATAACTGATTCTCCAATTTTTTAAAAGTCATATAACTGATTTTACATTTGCCTATTCATTTGAAGGATTTTGGTTCATATATTTCTTTTTTGAGAGCTTAGAAAAAATTTGCAACATCATTTTTTTCTTATCATTATCATAAATCTTATCATTCAAAAATGAATATTTAGAGCTCACCATTTCTGGTTGACCATTAGTTTAGTTTAGAAATTTTTGCCAAGGGATCACACTTGGCGATAAAAGTAAAATTCGCGCCACTCAAATTTTTTTAATGACAGCTTTACTCATGTCCGAGTACGAGCCGAGCTCTTTGCTCTCAATATCGCCACTTAGAACAATTTCTGACTTCCTCATTCCAGGAATGCATTACGGTCAACTATCTTCATTCCATGTAAACACTATAGTTTATCTAATTCATCGTTGTTATTTAATGCAAATGCAAAAATAAACATTAGAGTTATTAAGTTATACCGCGTGATAAATTCGAACTATTCCAATTATTTTAAAATTTTACCCAAATTATATCAGTGCAATTCGAAATTTTTTATCATAAACGACAATCTTTAAGATATTTTAGAGGTTCCTCGCCAATATTTCTTGGAACTTTTTCTTTCAAATGATAAATGATATTATCATGTCGAATAGTTTTTTTTCGTTTTTGCTATTTGCTACGAGTAAAAATAAAAATAGAAATCAAATGAATATCAAATCAGAAATGAAAAACTGTGATACGAATAAATTTTTTAACCGTTATATTCATCATTTTCCGTGCAACTGTGAATATCTATTTCACTAAAATTGTATAAACCGACGACTTTGCGCACTCCGCTTGGTTCGATAATAAAAACGCCCTACACAAAAATTATTGGTAATTTTTACTAATCGAAGTTGAAAAACGGTAATATTAAATCTGATTAAATCTGAAATCTAAATCTTAAGAAATATGAGATGCAATTTATATGCATTTTTTTAAAACTAATTTATCAACAAGTAAATTTTCAATTAATTTAAAAATTAATTAATTAATTTTTTAATTAAATAACTAATTTAAAAATTAGTCTTTAAATATTATAAAATATTATGAATGTATTTTAAGTTAAGTTTCAAACTTTTTCGCTTTAAAATTTTCGCAAAATTTTTTTCCAATTTAGAAAATAATTTCAACTCATTCTTTAGTTTTCTTTTCATTTAAAAACTAATTGTTAAATTTTTCTTAATAATTTAGCTTGAATGAAACTAATTAATTAAAAATATCTGAAAAATTTTAAAAATTTAAATTTAAATTTAAATTTTAATGCAAAAATTGTGATTAAAAGTTGCTGACTTGGTAAAATTTCATATCTTTTGAATCAACAGCGAAGAAAGAAGCCCATAGAATTCCATTCGAGTCAATCCTTTCGTGGATCGACATCGACAAAGGAATAATTGACGTATGGGCATTTTTAAATATACGATTATCTTCAAATAAATTCAACAATTTGAAGTTAGATAATGTTCGCACCTAAAACGAAATAGCAATTCGTTGCTAAATTTTTTTCACAAAATTTTCAAGAGCAAAAATTTATATTTAATATTTAATTTAATATTTAATAATGGAATAAATATAATAAAATTTCTTAATGCTATCAACCTAAATCAGACCAACAGTACATCAGACCAATCGTCTATAAATACAAATAGTATATACGAATATTTTTTATTAGCTTGATTAACTCGCATCAAATTCATATCCAATCCATTGAGGTGCTTCTGTTCCAGCAACAATGCGCTTGCCAATTTTCCAGAAATTTAAATTCGGATGAAACGGCGCTGAATCAATATTTTCTGGTATCTAAATGAATTTAATTTAATAATAAACGTGCCAATTTTAATCCAGTTCTAATTCTCGTGAAAATGGCTTTTGTATGAAAAGTACGATTAGCTCGTACAGGATTCACAAAAATTAATAAAAAGGAAAAGGAAAAACGAAAATTTTCTTCTAAGAACGCCTATGGTTTTTGGCTTAGCTTAGGCTCCTCTGGCTTTGATGAGAAATTTTTTATTAGAGAGTTACTTTCTATTACAAAAAGTACATAGACCAGTTTTAAAGGCTTATAAGGGGCGAATGAGCTGAACCTTCTCTAACTTTCAACATGATGAACTGCAAAAATTGCCTTAATTCTTAAAAAAAAAATTTTGAAAACGATATCTAACTTGATTTTTATTATTTATAAATATGAATTATCCAAATGAGAAACCTTTTTCCAAGCTTCCTTACTAGTTCTGTTGTAGGCGGAAAATCTCGCCCATGGTACAAATGTTTGTGACATGTTACGATTATAAAATTCCCATATTTTATATGGGCGAGATGGGTAGTATTGTGCAGAAAAATAAACCTAAATTAATAATAGTTCAATGGAAAAAGTATGAAAATCAGCAAAAAATTTTCGAAACATTACTTCTATGCCGTTAGTCATATATTCAATACATTTAAGATTTGAAAAAGATTACGAATCCACCTATCTATCTATATATATACATAAGAATTTATTAGCATAACTATTCCTTATGATTTATTAAGAGAAATTTTCGCTATGAAATTCCGTTGAAATTCCTTTACTTGGCCATTACTGATTTGGAATGATCCAACCGCACCGATCGCATCATTCATATGGGTTAATTTTCGGCCAGGTGATTCAGAAAGATTACCATAAGAGGCAGAAAACTGACATAAGAAATATCCATCTAAGAAATAGGAATTTTTTATGAAAAAATTCTCCATGATTTCAAAAATTTATTGTTAACAAATAATTCTTTTTGGTCAGCGAATGCATTGGCAAATGTACGACCAATTTATTCATAAGAAATAATCGTAATAAAAATAACGAAAGTACGGATTGAGTTAAAAAATAGAATGGGTGTTTGTTCGAGGGGGAATTTAAAATATTTAGTGGGTTTTCCAGGGGTTTTTCTTCTTGTTCATTTAATTAAACGAATATTACGATTTACCAAGAAAAACTGGAATATTCTTTGATGGGCATTTGATTCTTTTGAATTGATCACCATTCCATGAATCAGGAAATCCACGATATACTCCATCAACACTTTGTGATAACGATCGGAATATCAGTGATAAATGAATCAAAAAAATAAATGGTTTCCCAATGAGAATCATATATATTATACTTTTATTTTCGATAGAAAATGTATTATCTTTGCTATATTATCTGCAAAATACATGAACGCTAGAAAATCTGCCATGAAAATAAATTACAAGCCTTTCCCTGGCCCAGCACTCTGTCCTATTGCAAATAGCCAAAGCAGAAATTTCAGATTCTGTTAGAAGAAAAAATCGTTGAACCATGTTCTAAAGAAAAGGCAGTTTGTTAAGAGAAGCCAAAACTTTTTTCGAAAACGACTGGTAGATTCGAAAAAAAAATCGACTTAAAATGATTCGATCGACCTACCTTACCTAACTAAGTAAATTATGGGAGATTTTTACAATCTTTGAATAATTATAATTGAAAACTAATTTGAGCAAAGCACTAGCAATTGAAAAAGTAATAGAGCAGTAGTTTAGCGGTTTCTAAACAAAGATTTATTATAGATCCGTTTCTGAGGTATTTGCCGAATTTCTTACCATCTTTAATCGTTGTTTCTTCTCGTTTTGTCTTGAATGATTGAGTTTCCGCTTAGTTTTCCCAAATTTTCCTTATTTCAAGCATCATATCATTTTCACGCTCTTATCACTAAATATTTGTGACTTGTAGAATCTGCTATCAATTTCTGATTATTGATTTGATAAAGATCTTTCAATGTTTTAATTTTAATTTTTAACGAAATTTTAGAATATAAAATAAAATAAAATGTAGCTGAACATAAATTTCTACTAACTTTTACTTTGAAATTTTCATTATTTTTTATTTAAATCATTTTTAGACTATATATTCCATCCAGCTACTGAAAAATTGCAACATTTTGAACTCTTTATAACCAGCGTGTATAAATTCTTTTTTTGCCTAAGAGTGTTTTCCATTTTGATTAGGATTGCCGGTTTCTCAGACCAAAAAAATTTCGCCAGGGAAATCGTTTGGTAATAAAGTGGCTAGGCCCGGATTTTTGAAAGATACATTTATTCCTGCTGTGAACCCCTAATTGATGCTTCGAAATGAGAGTAACTAGTCACTGAGCAATAATACATATAAGAAATAAGCTTAATAAAATAAGGAAGAATTTTTTGATCGAAGAGGGATGAGAATAAAAAACTATTCAATTAAACTATTCAAAACTATTAAAAACTATTACTATTAACCTATTACTATTACTATAACTATTAAACTATTCAATTTGAAGAGACAAAACAATTGTCGCCGAATGGCGGAAAAAGCTGTAAATACAAGCAAGTCATCCGGATTCCCGCCCATCTTAAATTAAATATAAGCCCCCAAAAGATCATTTTTGGTCATTTTGTGCTTCTATTAGGGGAAACGAGTGGGGGAGCGATCGCCATTTAGAATTTATATTTGATTTTATTTTAATGTATTATTTCTTTGAAGGAGGGCAATTGCTTCGTTGTGTTTTCTTGTATGTATTTGCGTCTTTACTAATAAAGATTTAATTCCCCAAGTTTAAGCGATTCAGAGAGGAATTTTTTAATAAATTATAAATTATATCAATAAATTATCAATCATTCGTGATAATTCGTGCAAAAATGATCGAAGAATTAGAGGGTTCGCAACGAGAAAAGTAAGAAGAGAACGCTGGCGGCAGAGCTTATAATATTATTAAGAAATAAAAGTCCCGTGTGACAGGAAAGTTAAATCTATACAGAAAAAATAGCGGAGCGGATTCCCAAAAAGAATTTTTGTAAAAGTAGATTAGCACGGACAGCAGGATGCGCCTTAATCAAGCTGGATTCAAAACCATTGTGCGGTTGTGCTGGCCAGATATTTACATATAGGAAGGGCGCTGCAGGGTGCTTCAAATATTTGTAAGCCACCGTCACGTGTTTCATCGAGTTTGCGACTATATTGGAAAGGAAATCGTCGTGGTCACAATGAAAAATAGTGCTGTACACCTTTTTTCTGTACAACAATTCTTATTATTTTGTCATGAATAAAAATTTATCTAATCTTATTTTATTTTGTTAGCAATGATAACAATCGCAATTTTTCATTTTTCAAAGAATGAGAAAGAAAAAGAAAAAGACGAAAAAAATGTGGAAAAAATTTTATAGGGACAAAAATTTGTATGTTTGTATAATTTGTATAAATTTGTATATATTTATTCAAAATTATTTTAACTTCTTTTCCTCCAGATCAATTTGCTTTTTTCGCTGTACATACTCGTCATATTTCCCTTCTTTGTACCACTGCCTGAAAGCAACAAATTTAGACAGCAAACGAAATCTAGAAGAGTGTCATTGTCACATTTTAATTCAATTTCCATTGTGATAAAAGATATCAACAACAAGCGATCTGTTTACAATTTTTTCTCAAAAATAAGCGAAAGAAAGCGAACATACCTGATTTTAGGAGCGTAACACAAATCAAAAAGTCGTTTTGCAGTAATTTTATGAGGAGGCCAACGTTCATTTTCATTTACATATAAGTCCGCGACTTCTTCACTACCTTTATCTCGGACGATTTTTTCATAATTCTTTCGCCTAAAAAAAATTACGTCAAAAAATAATTTATATAAAATTTTAAATATTAAATATTAAAATATTAAAAAATTTAATAATTAAGATAAATAATTTAAATAAATAAATTGAAATATTAACAATATAAATAATTAAGAGAATGAACAATCTAAAACGAAGAAATCTCAGAATAGAATTAAACGATAGATTTAAACAAATTCAAAAATAAAGAACTCGTGAACATGAAAAAGAAAATAAAATGAAAGGTGACAACAATAATGAAAAAAGAGGAAACTCATCATAATAATAAAACTGGTACCTTTTTTCTATTTCAACATCGGTTTTAAAAGAAACATATGGACGAAGAGGGAAATTTGTTAAATCTGGAACAACGAGTTCAGGTATCATTTCCTTCACTGATACAAACTTTTTGCTGACCGGATCTACATATCCAGTAGGTTGAACACCAGTGTATTCTATAAGAATGAAATATAAAAGTATAATATAATAATTAGAATAAAATATAAAATGAAATTTAAAAAATATAATAAAAGCTGAAAGTATAAAAAGTATAATAAAAATAAATCTTCTAAATTCGCTTATCTATCACTAATATATTTAGTTTGGCTTACTTGGTTTATTTTGTAATTCTCCTTTATTTGTATTATTTCTCTTTACGTTATTAACTTCTGGTCATACTCCTTTTGTTATTTATATCACAAATATATTCTTCTCACTTCTTCATGCTTTATCTTTTGTTAATAATGCAAGCACGTGGCGCTTGTCGCCCTGCTTGGTTGTTTAAATAAAAAGTTTTTAGAATTTAAAACTTCTATAAAGCGGCTTTACTGGAATTATATTGACTTAACATCCTTCAAATGAATAAAGCAAAACGAAGAATAATATAGAAAACCTTTTAACTGCTCTAAATTGAGTTTCTGAAATTTCGGAGAAAGTTCAGGAATTTCTCGCTGTTGACCAGGTATTTTCCATTTTTCGTATTTCACAGGTCCGATTTTTCGTTGACCTCTAACCTTCAGTAGAATCAAATTTATTAATAGGACGGTTTTGTAAATCATTTAATTGAAAATAAATTTCTCAATTTTTGAAAAAGAAATATTCAGAAAATAAGGAAATACTTTGGACACAAAAGGCCACGGCGCGTTGAACTGATGAGGAATTAATGAACGAACACCACGAATCGAAACAATGCAAGTCGACGTTATCATTCGATTCTGAAATTATAAATTGGAACTATAAATTATAAATCAATAAAATTTTTCGTTTCCAAAAAATTTAGCGCAAAATATGCAAAGAAATGAAGACGAAAACAATCAAAAATTTATCCAAAAATACAATAAAAAAACAATAATAATGAAATGGCTGAGTGGGTCGTTTGCCCAATTCAGAGCGTCGGCGCTGGGGTTCGGCTTACCCCAAAAGTATCCAAAAAGCAAGAAAATTTGTGAGACATATTTTTTACCAAAATAGTTCTAAAGTAGAAGTTTATCACTGAAAATCTGCATATATTTAATACTGGCATCGTCATGAGCATTTTCAAAGTTCGACGAGCTGTAAGCTGAGAAAGTTTAGTAATAAAAAACTGCGGCCTACTTACGAAAATTCCCCCTCTTCTAACAATGTTCACTGGTTCCTTTATTCTCATTAGTTCCAATAATAAATGCTAATCGGATTTTACTCGCAATCTTACAGTTCGACAGATTCAATCAAGCCAATGTATAGGAACCAAATCTATGGTGGTTCAATCTCCACTACGGCCGAGCCATTTACATATGCACTAAGCTCAACCGTACTTCATATGACAAATGCTGATCTGAAAATTTTAGCCGTCAAATAGTAGTCCACTGAAGCACAATAAATTACGGCCCAGCTGCAAAAAAACAAAATAGTAAAATCGAGATTCTGAAGTTTAAATTTTAAGTTAAATAAGAATAAGGCCGAACGGATGAAAATGCTGCAGTTGGGCAATTTAGGCGCTGGTCATTTGCCTATTTTCTTCGCCATCGCCTTCACAGTTACATTAAGTGAGTTTGAATTTGAACTGTTTTTTTATTACTTCCCATTATTGTTTTTATTATTTATTATTTACATTATTATTTATCGTTTTATTTATTATTTATACATTTCACTATTATTTATTAATTTTTATTGTAAGTTTATTAGTATTTTTATCATTTAGAATTTTAAACAATTCAATAGCGCTTTCATTTTTATGAATTAAAAAATTTTAATTTTAATGGATTTTTTTTTAAATTAAATTTTTTTATTTTTTTTCAGTTTAATCGTCTTTATTAAAACGAAAGTGAATCTTTTTTTAAAATTTTTTTCGCCTATTATTTATTTTTAATTTTTTATTTTGTTTTATTTTTTTTTGCATATTTCTATTTTATTTTCCGTTTATTTGCATTTTTAGTATTTATTTTTTGAAATAGTTTTTTATTATTTATAATTATTTTTATTATTTATAATTAATAAGTCGCAATGAAGGTATTCATTGCATTTGCAGGCACAACGTATTGCTTCGCTGTGTGGTACGGTGATGTCGATCCAGTTTTCCCGTATATTTCAGCGTCAGGTGATCGACGACCTGTTTCTTGCTTTTTCAGTATGATGGTGAATCTTTGCTCTGCTTTATCTATGCTTATTATCTATTTACGGTTAGTCCTTATTTATTCATTATTTATTCGCTTTAAATCAATTTAATTATTGTTGTTTTTTTCATAATTTTTATAAATCTTTCCTTTTGTGCTTTTTGAAATTCGGTAATTAATTTAATTTTTTTTTGGAAAGGAAAATTTCCTTTCTTTTCTTCATTTTTTTAGAAATTTTATGAAATAATCCATGGTTTGTTCTATTTTTTCATTTTTTAAAAGTCAATCAAAAATTTTCCCTTTTTCTTCTCCTTTTCCGAGCTAATGTGTATATTCAATATTATTAAGGAAGAAAACTCTTTTTTTGGATTTAAGTATTAAATCGTTTTGGAATTAGTGTAATCGAATTATTGTCATTATTACTGATATTTTTGTCGTTTGCAGTTATTTATTGATCGTTGAATTGAATCGCGATGTCGATTTATTATTGAAAAGGTCCAATATCTTGGCTCTTTTTGTTGGCCTTCTTGGTGCTTTTGGCATGTTTATGGTTGCGAATTTTCAAGTTCTTTTTTATTTCTTTTTTCGCTTTTACTTATGATTTATTTAATATCTACTTTATCAGTTAGTTCATGTTTTTTCTTTTCTATATTCTTAAAATATTTCGAAAAAAATAGAAATATTTGAAAACCAACTATGCATCTCATTGGCCTTTAGGAATTGGATTTTAATTTTTAGTTTTAAATTTTTAGAATTTTCTATAAATTAAGTATTTTTTAGGAATCAGCTGTGGTCGTTGTTCACATAGTGTCTGCATTTATTTGTTTCGGTTTTGGCTGTATTTATATGGTTTTGCATTCGTATATTACGATACGTATGTATCCTTTATACACTAATCGTCCAATCGGCTTTATTAGGTCTTCAATAGCTACGATGGCGGTGGCGTGCTTCATTACTAGTTTGATTTATTTATTTATTTTACTTTAATGAACTTAGTTCGAAGCATTTAGAACAACAGGATTGTTTAAGAATATCTGTAAAAATCATTGCATGTTCATAATAATCTGTAGTTTCCCAGTAGTTTCCATAATCTTTTTTTTTTTCATTTATTTCATATCTTTTTTACCTTTTTATCTTTTTTAAAAAAAATATTAGCTAGCTATTTTTTTAGCAGTATGTTTTGGCGTAATGGCAGCAAATGAATTTCATAGATTTTTCCCTGATTTACCTACTCCTCGTCCATGGTCTGAAAAACTGCATCAACCGGTTAGCGATTCCTTCTATTCCTGAGATTTCATAGCGAAATTCATTAGGGTCTAACCAACAAATTTTGGGCTAAATTTTTTTTTAAAACTATTTTAAACTATTTTCTTGCAGGGTTATGAACTTCACTGCATATCTGCTGTTGCCGAATGGTCATTGGCAGTATGTAATGTTGCATTTTTCCTCAGGCAATACTTTTTTGCATTTATTATTTAGTTATTGTCCATTGAAATTTTAAGTTTCGAAGAAGTTTCAGTTATTCTCGTGATTTCGAGAAGATTCACGTCGAACTTGACTTGCGCACATTAGTTTCACATCTTGATGAAAGTCCATTAAATCTTTCATATGCGAATATTGGTACGTTGTATTAATAATAATTTCAACGCTAAATTCTCAATGGTTGTTTTTTCATTAATTCGTTTGTTTATTAAATTTCTTATGATACTTTTTCCTGTTTTCCTTCTTATTTATTCAATTTTTTCTAATCTTTGCTGAAAATTATTTGTTAGATGATTCAAGCATTTTCCACATTTTTGGCAAAAATTTTCATTCTTTGATTTCGGGTGGCAACTACCTTCTATCGCCAAATGATTCCTAATAAAAATTCCTCATTTTTCTAACGTTCTCAGTGTAGTGAACCTAGAAATAATAAGGTATTTTTTTTCTAGGATCTTTGATTAGTGAAACGATTTCTTTAAATAAGTTCCACCAATTCTTTGACCATTAATTGAATTTCTTGTTTATTTAAATAAATGAATTTAAAGTTATTAGGCGGGAAATAATATAATAATATTATTTTCAAATCTTTTATAGGCTTATTGGTCAATTATTGAATTGACTTGGTTATATTCTTTACTCCAAAGGAGTATTTTTTTTCTGTTTTTATTTAATTTCGCCATAATTCTGGTAAAAAATTTAAAATTTAACTAATTTTATTTTTCATTGAAAATTTTTCTAATCTACAAATATTTCGCTTTATAAGAGTAAACTCGAATTTTGGTTTTAATTTTACGTTGATTGTTTCTCTAAATAAATATCTGCTTTTGTTAATGGTGGAAATTTTCTTAGAGAGGAAATTATTAACAGAATGATTCTCTGTAAAAAATGCAAGATTTATTGATATTTCTGTCGTTAATAATCAATATAATGTAGTTTTTATTAGAATTACAAACAATTATTTGTTTCAGGTGTCAATAAATTATTTTCTACAAAAATTACATAATTCTGGTCATAATAAATCAAAAAAAAATTGTTTCATACAATGTCACTGAAGATATACATGTTATAGCTATAATAAATTATTTAATATTAATGAATTTTCCGTACTAATAATGGAATTTTTTCGTCCAAACATGGAAAATTGAAAATTTAAAATAATTATGATTTTATCAATTTGGAATATTATAAAATAGCATTTTGGAAAAAAACACTGAGTGATGCTTACATGTCATATCATATCATATCATAAGATAGAAAGATTATCTGTTAGCACCTCATATACAAATTCAAATACAAATGAAATTTTTCAAATCAAAAATGAAGGATAAAAGGCTTTTTGAAAAGTTTTTAAGAAATCTTTAATGAATAAAATTTTTTCTTGAAAATATAAAATAGAAAATTTACGTATTATTTCAAATTTCAAATTCTCAAAAATATTGCTAAAAGACTTTTCTTTTTATATTTTTATACTTTCTATAAATCTTAGCAAAAAAAATTTTTTTACATCCTTATTAATAAAACTCTTCACTAACAAAAAAAAATCAAATTGTAAAAATTGAAACTAAAAAAATTCTTTCATATAAATTCAAAATAATTCGATGCGCTGTTGCAGTAGATAAATAAAATTGAGATCCAAATGAATTTTTAAAAAAAAATAGATTTATCAGAAAATCAGTTGGTCTAAGACAGTGATTACAATGATTATCAGCACTGATTAAAGTTTCATCTTTACTTTGCTGTCCCAGCCGTATGCGCTTGGACCAAATTTATAGACTAACTTCTTGGGGTAAAGGCCAGTTTTCGGTACGGGAACGAGTATTCGTTTTTCATAATATGTCCTTAAATTTTTAAAATCCCTTTAATAATTTGCAACTAGAATAATAATTTCTTTCTTCTTTATTTTATTTTCATAAATCATTGGGATGATTGTCTAATTTCGAGAAATTTCCATTTTTTGTTCTAATTCTGAAATTTCTGACTTTTTTTTTCAAACAAATAAATAAGCGAAAATAATGGGGAGAATTTTGTATCAACAGAAAAGAGTACCTCATAGCACGGCTCAATTTTTCATACGTCATTTTTTGGTTATTTTTCTTTTCACCCCATAATTTGGCGAGTTTCTCGGATTCGACTATGCGAAATACGCCCTCGCTTGCGTCTTCCCAACTGCAAAAATTCAAAAAATAATTCAATTATAATAATTTTTATAATAATAAAATGCAAGAAAAGATTTTACCGAACAACACTTGGACACGTTGTTGGATTCCTTAGCGCATCTCGAATAAATTCCCATAATTTGTTGCCTTTCGTATGTTGCGAGCGTTTTCGTGGTTTTCCATCCTTATTCTTCTTACTGCTTTTTTCATTGCATAACAGTTGATTCGTATAAACTGAAAGAGAAAGAGTAAAAGAACTAAGTGATACTGGAAAATTTTTTTTAAGAGTCCTCACCATTGCTGGTTAGACTCGTTGGCTTGTCCCACTAAATGTCAACGAGCAACAGACAGAAGTGCCTTGCGACAGAAGTACAGGTGAGTCGCCAGCATCACTCGGATTTTTGAATAAGCTTGCTTGAGCGAGAAGTGAAATCTCAGCAATATTGGAAAGCCATACTGGATTGTATTGGAAAATTAAGGAAGATTTTTAATAAAACTCAGTAGTTCCATTTTTTCCCTTTCATATTACCACGAAAAGGTGGTGTAAATGCAGTGAAATATTAATTGTGACAGAACCAAATGATACTCCGAGACGTTTGATCTTGTTATTACCACATAATTGATAAGGGACTACTAATGCCCTTCTGCGATAATTACAATATATTTATGCAGTGAAGCTGAATTTAAAATGAATTTAACTGGCAGGCCTTTGGATGTTGATATTGGAATTTCGAGTACTAGCAAGCTTTATCAACTTAGTCAAAAATCTATTAGATTCACTCCGCAGATTTTTTTCCGATTGTAAAACTCGCATTTTATGGATTCTTGTTCTATCTTATTTCAAAATTATTCCGCAGTAATGGATTGTAAAAAAACAAATTTTTTGCTCCAACAAGTGAAAAATTAATATGAATATGTTCGTAAAGATTGCAGAAAGCAGTACGAAAGGTAGTTCTCGAGATACATGAGCTGCACCACTCCCCTTTTAATGGCAGATCCACTTCCAACATGGCATAGGGTGGCACTTGAGTCTATGATAGGTTCAAAAAACGAACCAGTCGATATGCTATTTGTGTAATCTTTTCAAAAATATATCAAAATAGATATACCAAAATATCTTACGAAAAGAAATGCATGTATAAGAAATATGAATCGCTGATATTCAAAAAGGATGAAAGATGGTGACAGTTTAGTTATTCGAGTTTTAATTGGCCTTATTTGAAATCATCAGATTTTTTTTTTTAAAAATTCGATAGTATAGGAAGTTATGCAAACAAGTAAAGCAAATGTTAACTGAGAAATAAGATGATTAAATAAATATGATTGATCAAACAAACATTTGATAAAAATCACCTTCTGAACAGCTCGGTGTATCGATATTACAGCTAGAATTAGTGACAACTTCTTGCTGAGGCGTTCTTTTTGGAATCGTATTAGCTGAAAATCCGTTCGGTAATGTCGTCACCGGCCTGAAATTAGTCACTTTTTGTTGTCGAGTATCAAATATTTACAACGATTCGTTAATATTCACTGAATGATCAATTGAGTTTAGCTTAAAACTTTATATTTTAACTCATAGTTCTGCAAAAGAAAATCCTCCATTTCATATAATTTAACGTTTTTCCACTTTCGCCACTCTTCACGACCTATTGTTTGCTTTGACTATTGCAAAAACTTCAATATTTACCTAAGTATTTGTAAGAAAATCATTTAGTTAAATTATTATTATACGAGGAATATCGAGACCAATCATTAATTTCTATAATAATTGGTGATAGCTGAGTGGTTGCTTCGCCTTTTATCATTCCCTGCTTCAAGGCTTGGGCTCTGCCTTCAACCTGTCATTAAAAAATTTGCATTTGCATTTCTACCCAAAGTGATTCCTTTACTCGGAGTATCAACAACCAAGGGGCGAGAAATGGCGAGCACCATCATTTAATTAATTATAATTGAATATTTACATACATATATATATATAAGTTTAAATTAATTTGGTAATAAATTCAATTTTATTTTAATATAATGTATATTTTTGTAATTATAATATTATATTTAATATTACACCAATTATAAAATACAATATACTAGCCACAAAAAATAATGGAAGACAAAAAAATGGAAAAAAAACTTACACAGGCAGGTAAATACATGCCAATTCTTGTACAGATATAAAGTCTAGATTCATTATACAGTAATAAGAGATGATGAAAAGAACGATGCTGTTAGAAAAGGGAAATTACAATCTATATGACCACAGTTCAGCTTGACTGATAAAGATTGTCACAAATGATAAAGAAAAAACTATAGAACTTTGAGCGGGTCCCAAAGGGTCTCAATATAATAATGTCAAGGATGTTAAATAAGTGATTATTCATGATAAAGCTTCTTCATTGGCTAATAGTACGACATGAAATTTTTTTCCAAAGAATTACATGGCGAAGAGTAATTGGCAATAACTGCCAGGATTTCTTAATGATAAATTCACTTCCACCAAAGACAAAATCAGAGTCCTGAAGCTCGATACGATAATTTAAAGCAATTAACACTCGGCTACCACGTCTCCTTTGAGGTGCATTAACGGAGTATAAAAAAGATTTGAGGAGGTATTAAGAGAATATGGCGGAAAGCTCAATTTAGTCTCAACTTCATTGTTTCCATAGTTTACGGTCGTCGCACCTTATTTTCCAAGTATAACATTATGACATTTTTCTTATTTATACTCATATGTTATACGATAAAATTAGAATGATATAGAATAAATTATTTTCAGCTTTTATCATTTTATAAACATTTTCTTGCATTTCAAAAAAGCGAATAAATCACTATAATAGATTTGTAATTAATTAATTAAAAATAAAAAAATTAAAGTAATTAATGTAATGCTTAGTAATTATTAGTAATTAAAAATTAGTAAAAATTAATAAGAAATTAATTAACTGATTATTTATTCACTAGAAAATTTATATAACCATTAACTTTCTGATTGCTAATAGCACTTTCATTTGTTCATCGAAAAATTTTTTTAAATGTTTTTTGCGTATTTTTGATCATTAAAAACTAAACTTTCAATAATAAAAAAATTTTAAAATTTTAAAATTTTATTTAAATAAGACAAAAATTATGAGAAATAAAGAAAAGTGTAATTATGAATTTTTCGTTTCCACTTTCGAATTAAGCTAATTTCTTTATAAGAATTTATCAAATTAATAAAATTATAGAAATATATTCAAGCGAAAATGATTTTTTCTAATAAACTTAATGAATTAGTTTGAAGGAAATTTATCGAAAGAATATTCAGAAAAATAATTAGTATTCATTATATTTTAGCAGATGACGATGACTTAAAAAAACATTGGAAATAACTTTGGTTTTATAAAAATTTGCCTAATTAAAATATGCATCCCAAAGGCAAATTACAGGCTAATATTACAAATAGATATACAAATATTAAAAAGGCTCATTTCGCCTTATTCGGCAGTACCTGCACAAATCCATAGTTAACGCTGCTGGTTGTTTGGAACCATTCGTGCTATTATTCCATCCAATGATATTTTTTTCGCCTGAAAATAAATTTTTTATACAACAAATGTTTTTTAGCTTGAAAAAATATAAAAGCAATCATTTATTTAGCTTACTTTTTATGGTTTTATTATTTCTTAAATTTCTATTAATTTGAATAAAATTTTTTGCATTGCTTTGTGAGAAAATAAATAAATAATTTTAGTATAAATAACGCGAAAATAATGGTTCATAGAGAAAATTGTAAGTAAACTGTTTGCTGAACTAATCAATCAGACGGATTTTCTTTCTATTTGTTTACACTATGAACATATTTTTTATTCAATTTTATACAGTATTTATGGTAGAAGAATGACGAAAAATTTTAAATTTCCATTTAATACAAATTAAATTATAGAATTATGGATTCCTTTAAGGCCGAGTTAAAATTGTGGAATGAAGAAAATGTGCGGATTTCCATCGATACAATAAATTTATTTCAGCAAATTCCACAAATAGTAGCAGTGATTTCTACCGGAGGAGCGCATTACTAGGGACGCAGAAGCTTTAATCTCCCAGGTCTATAAGAGAGGATCCGAGGTTGCGAATGATCTACCCACGAGTGAGAAAAAATATGTATTCATAATGAATCTAAACACAAATTTAATGAAAAATAAACCTAGAACCTGCAGATTAATAAAATTACGCCTGAATTTTGAATTGAATCTACCTTTAATCCTCGACAATTGTCCTATTCGCAACAAAATTTGCACTTTTCAACTAGTTATTTTGAGTTAATTATTTTTTAAGATTTTCGAAATCTCTTAAATATGATTTACCCGAAAGTAGTTTTCGAAATTCGACAAATAAAAGATGCCCGTAATTGTAGTCGCGACTTTCAAAATTTTGTTCTGTCATTAGCAGAAGCGTTGAACCACAACAGTCTGCAAAATTGTGCATTTCTAAATCTTCGAAAGCGATCTGATTTCGTTTTGCGACATCCAGTATCCAAGCTGTTACATCCTCCATAGACCAATCCTATAGGCGAAAAATATTGAAGTCTATAAAAGTTATTTGTTGAGGTATATGATTTATTTGAAGTGGCGAAATTAAAACTGCATAAAAAATAAAGAAAGCTAAAGTTCATTTAGCATTTCAGCGGGATTTTAATGCATACCTGAGGATCTTTCGCCCGAAAACTGATAAGATCAACCCGATCGTTTTTTGGGATAGGTTTAAAACTAGATTGGATAATATGAGAGCGTAAAATCTGTGGCCTAAATCTGTCTATTAACATTGGTAAGCACATCACTTCAGGATGAAATGTCGACGTACTGTTCGAATCTAATTGTTCTTGAATTACTTGCGCCTGTATAATTAATTTATAAATTTAATGAGAATGATCAAAACAAATAATTTTTTGTTTTCAAATTTCAATATTTTACGTGGAGGCGCTTATTTGCAAATATTAGAAAATTTTTGCAGAACATAAAAAAAGTAGCCGTTGCTAAATTATCAATTTGGAATTTAATTTGATTGTTATGAAGACAAAAAATTTTCAAAAATCAAAAATTTTGCAATTTTTATAAAAAGCAAATAATAATAATACCTGTTGAGAAAAAGTAGTTGGATGGTGCATTTTTTCATTTTGAGAAAGAGGTGATTGCAATTGATCAGATTTTATACTTTGATTTAATAATGGTTGTATTGGTACCTGAATATTATCATCTAAGGAAGAAGTTCTTGAAGACGTTGGTAGTTGTTGAGACTGATTTGAACAATTTGAATTATTAATATTATCTGTGGTAAAGAGATATTTACATGAAGGAATAAGGCAACAATTGAAAAAGGGTGAAGTAAGAAGAGAATTGCGGAATGAGGCTTGATTGCGTAACGACGAAAACTGATTCTGCAATACTGATAAGTGATTTTGAAACGACAATTGTTGATTGGATTCTTGCTCAATCGATGGAGAAAATGCACTGGTAGTAATCATAGCATCGCTAGCCGTACCATTGGGTGAATTTAACTGTGCATACATTGCCGCAATCATCGATTCATCGTTTGTTTGCTCTCGGAGCTCACACTTCCGTCGTTCAATATTATTGTGTTGGATCTCAAATTCATCCAGGTCGATTGTTCTCATTTCAGGTATTCCATTCTTATTTCCGTTCATTAAGAATGGAATACCTGAATGAAATTCTTTCATTTTGTCATTATTGTTGGCTGCGATACGTATTTGCTGAAATGTTCCTCGCGATAAATCATTGATAAATGTCGAATTATAACGATGGTGATTAGACAGTACCGTTAATATCGGTGATAGGTCAATATTTGTTGAATTTAAATTTGATAAAGGTACACTAGCTGGAGTAAAGCTGCACTGAAGCATATTTGTTGTTGATAAACCACTTATTGAACTAATGGAAGCAGAAATCTTGTTTTTTCAACAATATTCCTGTAAATCCATAAGAATATAAATCAGATTTGACTTTTTTTTCTTAATTCGATGAATTCCACTTCAATTTTCGATCAAATTACAAATTTCGGAAAAATTTCAAAATTTCAGTTAATGATAGAAATAATTAATAAAATCGCAACAGAAGATTATGGTATTTTCATTTTTTCGAATTTTCCCTTTATTTTTTGAATTGTCGAAATATTTTTTTTTTCTTTTTTCATAAATTTTGACCGATATATTCAATTATTGTAATTTTTGTATGTTATTTGTATTTTATTTTATTTATTTGTATTTTATTATATTTTGTATTTTATTTTATTGTAATTTTATTTGTTTTATTTAACTTTATATTAAACTTCTACAAACCTAATCACAATTACCTTCGCATGAAAGTACCAATAAAACTGCGCATGTATTATTATTTTTGCGATATTTAAATTGCTTAATTTGTAATAAAAATTAAAAAGGGAATCAAAAAAAAGGAATATTTAACTGAAAAGTCGGAATAAAAAAGCTTTTACTTTAGTACTTTTTAAGTTCATTTGCACTAATTTGTGATGCTTAAAAACTAAGAAAATTAAAAAAAGAATCGAAAATTTTTTCAATGTTTAAAAAATGCCAAATATGAATATAATTACATTCGATGTTTTAAGTTTCCTATTGAAATCTTTAATAAATTATTTTTCAGAAAAAGAAGAATATTTTTGTGCGATTTGTTAATTACTTTTACAGTTGAATTATATTGAAAAAAGTTTTTATTCTATTTTTTTAAGTTTCATTAATTATTATTATCACAGTGTTGATAAAATATTGATATTGATAAGAATTTTTTTCATCTTGACCACTGAATTTTAAATTTAAATCGTTCATGCTTAAAAATTTCTGATTAGAATTATGATATACACTTATCATATCGCATTGCTTACTTATTGGTTATTTTAGTAAATTTTTGCAAATTTCGCAATAATTCTTCATGCAAAATTGTGAAAATCTTACTTTAAGCTTTATTACTTCTCCCATATTTATTTTAATTTCTTCCGCCTATGGAAAGATAGATTTGTTTAAATAATTTTTATAATTTCTAATCTAATTTTTCCTTTTTTTTCAGCAATTCAGACCAATGAATTTTTATATTTTATATTTATATATTTTTTACATTTATATATTTTTTATATATTTTTAAGAATTATGGATAAATTATAAAGATAAACTATAACAAAACAACTTGAAGGATTTGTAATTGTAGTATTACATTTAATAAATTAATAATCATCGTATTATATTTAATAAGTAAATATAAAAATAGATTTTACGCTTAAAGCATTTCGAGAATGCTTAAATAAAGGAGGAGTGTTCTTTTTTTAGATTAAAAATATTTTTTTTTTTATTATTTAAATTATTCATTTAACTGAAGAGATTTATTTTTTGCTGCAGACTATATCTACGAAAATAATTTTTCAGTGATGAGGAATTTTTGAAAGAGAACCACACTTGGCAGTTGAAATGCAAATATGGGTCACTCTGCTTTTTTTAGTGACAGGTTTATGCTTGCATGCCGCAGAGATTAAATCACGACATATTAAGCAACAATTTGAGTAACAACCATTCAGCCATTCGGCTAACAAAAATCAGATAATAGAAAATTATTGAAATAGGAAAAATTTTGAAATATTGTAAATTTCAATGAAAAAAACTTATTTTATTCATATGGAACAACGATTGATTAAAATTATAAAATGATAAAATATAGTGCAATGTAAAATATTGATAAAAGTTTTTTAATAGAGCTCTCCAATGAATCTCTCCCTATTCAAATGATTGAAAAATCAAAGAAATAAGGAATAATAAGGAATATTTGAGAAAAATTCAAGCAATTCTTCGCCTTGATAGAATTTATCTGCAATTTTTCATTAAAAGATTTTTCATTTGAAAAAATGAAAAAAAAAAATAAAAGTATTCTTTGAAATATATTTTTTGTTACGATTTGTTTATAGACAAAATGGAATTTTTCTTAAATAAATTAAAGAATTTTATCGAAAATTTTATATAAATTATTTATACTATCAAATACAATGAATAAAAATATTAGATTTTATGAAATATAGAAAGCTGATAAAATAAAAAGAAAAATAAATGTGAAAAATATATTCAACACTAAATAAAAAGGACATCTAAAATGAAAGTTTATATAAATAAACAGTAAATTTATTCGAAAAGGTTTGCCATTTATCGAAGAGATTAATTCCTGATTATAGAATTTTTTTAAATTTTTAAAAAAATTAAATTTTTTTAAATTTATAAAATTTAACTAAAAAACATTTTTCATGGAATATTATTGAATAGCAAGCTGAGCGAATGATTGCTTTTGATAAGAAGCATTTTTCAATAAGAATATATCAGTTCATGTGGAAAATACAATAATTTAAATTATTATTATTGCTATTATTGCTAAAATATTGACAAAGGAATGGCACGATGACTTATGAATATTCAAGTTTAATTTAAGATAGACGAGGATGCTCGTTTCATTTATTCATTCAAAAGTGCGTTTGAAATCTTTCATAATAATTTGAAATAATTAGAATAATAATTAATTAAAAAATTGAAAAGAAAGTAGAAAAGTAGAAAAGTTTTTTTTTGGCTTTCATTACCATTCAAATCCATTGCGCTAAAATGAAAAATTATAAATTTTTTCGATAGGAAAAATTCTATAAAATTTTTTAAATGAAAAAATGAAAGGAGATTTTCGTTCAGAGCAATCGCATTTATATCGAAGACCACACATCAATTAATTTCCTTAAAAATTTTGCAGAGATTTTTTCTTCGAATATTTTTATAAATCATCCAATGCACTAAGTGGATAGAAAATTTTAAATCCTTTTTTTATGGAATATTTCATTCGATTCAGAAGGATTTCTTTTTTTTCTATAAGCATAATTAGTGCGAAATTCAATTAGCAATGAATGGATTATTTCATTTTTTTGCGAGAAAGAATTAGTTGATTTCTGATAGAAACAAGAAAAAGTTCCCAATGGGTTTTCCCTGAAAGTTGAGATTAAAAAAGAAAAATTCATGTCATTAAAAAGTAAAATACCATTTAAATCCCTCCTTTTTCATTAGAATCCAATATTGCATGAATATTAAGTTTGAAATATTAATGTTGCAATGGTTTAGACTTATTTTTATATTTAAAATATTTAGTATCATATCAATCGAATTAATAAAAGTTAAATTTAATGAAATAATTTTTGACAAGTAAAATTCCTATTTTCAAAATTGTGAACAAAATTACGAATTAAATACTTTTGTTTACATCACTTAGATTCTCCTTCTTTCTCCACTAACAGCCGATAATATTAGCTATAAAATTGATGTTTTTTTAATAATTTTTATCATTTTATCATTTGGATTGTTGATCTTTTAATGATATTTTCCTCGACGATTACGCAAATAAAAAATTTTGACAGATCAATGTTCAACGAATTTGAATAAATCGAAAAATTTTCTACAAAAATTTTTCGATTTTAATTTAAAAATTATCGAAATATAAAAACTGGGAGATTTTAAGAAATTTTCTCAAAAAAAAATTACGGATTTAAAGATATGTAAAGTAATGAATTACTCAAAAAATTTCATTCGATACATACATTGAATGATTACATTAAATAATTTATCGAGCTAAATCCATTAGTATGTAAATTCATTCGAAAGATTTTATCTGAAAAATTTTCTAACTTTTTTTTTCAGTTTTTACATGGACAACTAACTTTAGAACTTTTTTTTAAAATTATTTAAAATGGGATTAATTGTAAAAAATTTTTGATGTTTATTAAATAAATTGAAATTTT